ATGGCTAAGGATAACAGATGCTGTGATTTTGATTTGTTGCTGCACTCTGATGATTTGGTGGCCTATTTATCTAATAGCCTTAGGTCTCAAGCAGATTTATGTTCAGATTTGGTTTGTATTAAGGATTTGATGATTTTTTGTAATGTTTCTATTGGTACTCTCTTTTAATGGTTTGTGTGCTGTTTTTTTCTTTCGAGGCTTGTTGCCTTTTAGGTCTAGGTCTTCCTAGGTCGTGCTGGGTGGGTCTGAATTGGTTGGGCTTGTAAGGTTGTAGCCATTTAGTTACCGGAACTTTGGTTTGAGTTTTATGAAATTTGCTTATTTGCCTTGGAAAAAAAAGTGTGTTTATTGTAGGGCACGTGTCAATACATTATTGGTGAATAAGTGTGGATTGTTCCATAAGTCGAATCATCCGATGGCTCCATAGCAAATTGTTTTAACCAATCGTCAAATTTAACTCAACCTCACTATACGCAATATTATCAATATAATTAAATAATATCACTCAATCATTCTTACACATTGCATCAACTTTAATTCATTATTTATACATTTACATAATTTAACTAATCATCAGTTCACACTATCGCTCTGCTACTTTTACATCAAATCAATTTTAATTTTTTTAGTTTAAATATTATTTGAATATAAACTCAAAATTATACTAACAACAACGAACCATCCTACTTTTTTTTAAAAAAATTAACCATACCAAACCAAAAAAATCAAAACAAAACCAAAAAAATTTATATCCAAGCATTTTCAGCTAGGGCAAAGGGTCCTTAAATTATTTGTTTAAATATCATATTTTTTTTTTATTTTTTTATTTTTTGAGAACATGCATTACAATTTATACTTTGTTTGTACTATGTTGAGTACCCAAAAAAAAAAAAAAAAAACTTTCCATATAATGGACTAACATACACCTAAACCATGAAGAAGAAAAAACCCACTTCCACCTATAAATCATATCCTAAAAGTATCTTATTCACATTAACTGTATCAAAATCCTTAAATGACATACACACGCCTAGGCTTCAATGGAGGATGATGAACTCCAAGCGGCAGGCCACTTTTCAAACTCCATCACGCATGAATCATCTGCACATTCTGTGAATAAAGTTATCAATAAGTCATTAAAAAGGTACAAAAAAAATGTGTATAAATATATTTTATGATTAGAAAACGGAACAAAGCTCAAATAAACATCTCACCGTAATCGAACTATTTCTTCCTCTCAGTGTCTTTAAAGCGGCCTCTGCAAAAGCCTGTGCAGCCTCCGCATCAGCCTCAGCCGCCTCAGCTTCCCGAGCCGCCTCTTCAGCTTCAGCCATGGCAACTTCCGCTTCAGCCACGGCTTGAGCCGCAGCAGCTGCAGCCTCTTGTGGGGTCATGTTTCTCATTTTGGTCAGCTCCAAATCGATCTGCGATTTCGAGAGTTGACTAACATCTTCTAAGTCAACCTTATGGGAATTCCTCAATCTACCTTCCATGGGAACTGAAGCCGCCTTTCGTCTCTCGGGTACAGACGAAGGTTCAGCTATTCTGTACTTTCGTTTCAACTGTTTGAAAAAATATAATAACTGATAAATAAATAATTAACAGTTTTCAAGAAGATAAATTAGTTTTTGTAGAGATTAGGGAGAAGAAAAACCTTAATAAGTTTTCCGTTGGCAGCAAAGTGTCTTAGTTTGGCAGACAATATCCTTTTAAAGTTCGGAGGTGCCCAATATAGTTCCTGTGGGAAGGGGAAAAAAGTTGTAAGGTTACAAGGCGATAACTTGTTTCATTGCCAGATAAAGCATTTAACAAATAAAGGTA